CTGAGAAGGCAAGAACAGGCAGATCGCCAAACTGCTTTGAGGACCTCAGAATCTCAATCGCAGACACAGGAAAGGCGTCTTGAACAGTCTGAACGTCAAGCGAATTTGAGGGCCTTAGAATCACTGTCGCAGACACAGAGAAGACTTCAGGAGCAGACAGAGCGGCAGGCTCATTTGGGAGCCGCTGAATCGGATGTTCAGTCTCAACAAAGACTACTTGAACAAGCGGGGCGTCAAACTGCTTTAAGAGCTGCAGAAACACCTGCTGAAACTCAGCAAAGACTTGATGAGCAAGCAGAACGACAAGCTTTTTTGAGGTCATTCGAAACACCTGAACAAGCACAGGCACGCAGAGTTTTAAATGTACGGCTTCTAGCAGAAAAGCGCCGTAATTTTAATAGAAATAAGCTACTTTTTTACTCACTATGTCAAAAGAGGATGATAGCCTCAAATAGGAAAACCACGCGAGCGTAGCCGCAGGTAACAGCTAGTAATTACATATATATAATAATTTATGTAGTTATTGAGTAAATTGGCCAATATATAACAATAAGTGTCACATAAGACGGCAAAAAATCTCCCATCTGTGAGCCATTTTGGCCTGCACTGCAAAAACAATAAAAGTTACATGAATGTAATGTAGAGTGAAAATGTATCTCTTAAATAGTTCTAAAAAAAAGTCCGTAACACCATATATCTATTTTTAATGTGTATGTCATTACCGCTAAAATAGTGAATCAAAACTAAAATATTATTTGATATCTATTTCCAAAATGCACAATTGTATTAACAAATATTTTTTTATCAAAACAAATACTTTTATCGCTTTTGATATTTAAAGACGATAAACTTTGCTTTTTACACTATGTCATTTCGACAAATATTTAAAAAGTTACAACGATGACAAAGTGATAGCGCGGTGTACTATGTAAAAGAAAAAAAATGGGGTATTCGCAGTATGTGATCCTATACGAAGTACTAACATTAAAACTGTGATACAGTTCCTTCTTATTAAATGATGAAAAATATATTATCATAATAGGTATTTATGATTATTGAATTTTAATGAAAAACTCAGAATTTTACTGTTTTTCATTTTTTTTAACGATATTACTTAATGTTACAAAAAAGGTTTACTTAATATAGTGACAAATAACCCATTTTTCGCTAGTAAGTACATACTTATTGGAATCCCTGTATTTATTAATCAGCTCGCGATAATATTGGTTTTGTAATAATTCTGCAAAATTCAAAGTAAAATAATGTAGATTTTTATAGGTAAATCACCCCTTTCATCACCCTACGCCTATAAGTATTGCGATGTTGTAGCTCAGAACCAAGTTCCCATCTACTTCTATATGGGAATTCATTATATTCGATTTAGCTATTAGGGCACGGAAGCGCAACAAACAAAATCACTTTCGCATCTATAATATTATATTATACTTACTAGTGATCCACCCGGGCATTGTACGGGCGAAATTTATTTATCGGGATAAAATATAGCCTATGTCACTCGGACAAAATGTATTTAAATAAAGAAAAATGTTATAATAAATAATATAGCTACCTTTTGATGAATTAATATTTGAAACCGGTTCAGTAGTTTGACAGATTATTTGTTACAAACATACAAATCTTGCCTCTTTATAATATTAGTATAGATAGTTAGGATAAGATAAGTATTTATTTGATAAAAAAGATTTAAAAATAAAGTAAGTAATAGGTTTATTTGATTATATTTGTAAAAGTTACTTAGCATTTGTGCTTGACAGTGATACGTTATTCGGTATTTTTTAAACAAAAAAAAATTTGGAAAATCATTGCCATGATTGCACTACTGGGAGTACTCTTCATTCGAGCTTTACACTACCAATAAAAAAGGGTCGAACACAAAGTCTTTGACCTGTTAAATGTGAACGCTTTAAAAGAAAACTGCAAAGAGAACTATAAATTGATAATAAATGAGATTGCTATGGTGCTCTACCTAACGTTATGAAAATTTTATTATGCGCCTTTAGTTTAATCAAATATTATAAACTTCGCTTTGCATATTAATAATTATTTAATTTAGTGATCTAAGGCAGTTGCCACCATTGTCCAAAACAACAGACGGGAATTACTGCTTTCTTCAACCTGCGACATATACGTCATTGATTGGTATTGTATATAGTATGTATGAGGCCAATCTGTAGCCTTGACCCCGCTGGTAAAGTCTTTATATGTCTTAAAAAATCAATCTTTTAGACTGACGCAAGGGACTTAATAATTCCAGCGATATTAATTCCCTGACTGAAGTAACAAGACTACTGTATATACCGTCTTAAAATACTAACTAACTAAAAAGTGTGAAATAAAAAAGGTAAATTTAAAAAATCAAAACACCCGACTGCTTAATTATACTTCAAATAAAAACTGAAAAGAAAAAAACAAGTCCAGTAGTCTATAATTCTGTTAATAAGGAACAAAACTACTTAAACAGTCGGGACCCACTGTTGAAAAATATTATGTATTCTTGAATATCTAATGGGTCCCGACTGTTAAAGTAGCTTTGTTCCTTATTAACAGAATTATAGACTACTGGACCTGTTTTTTTCTTTTCAGTTTTTATTTGAAGTATAATTAAGCAGTCGGGTTTTTTGATTTTTTAAATTTACCTTATTTTTCAAAACAGTCTCATTTAAAAAATATACAGTCGAATACAGAACCTCCTCCTTTTTTGAAGTCGGTTAAAAATAGCAGTTTGAACCAGCCTGTATCATCAAATAACCTAAACGTCAATGGTTATAAGGATGAGTCACGACCCACGAGTGAAATTGGTATTTAACCGAACTTAGTAAGTTCGGTTAAATAACTGAAGTGAAATCTTTATTATATGAGTCGCCCCATCCAAAGACATGATCTCACCTTTATCCAACAAAATATACAACAAATGTTCATAACGAATAAACTTAAAAACTACAGGAGCAATATCAAAAATTCTCTCAGGATTTGAAAAGTATTGAAAAGTAACCTAGGCTTTTTAACGAGTCAAAATAATATTTGCTCGTACAAAGCAGTAGTGGATCGCTAGTATTAAACATTTGAAAAACGCAATGACACTTTCAGATCGCAGATGGGATTAGTGTTGGCACAATCGTGGTAGTATTAGCACAAACGAAATGTTGGAACTTCCGCTTTACCGGAAATGTGTCAAAACTGTAATTTCCGGTCAGTTTCCGTTGAATCAATTAATTTCACTGGAAATCATTTACCTATTGCATCTAAATATTGTTGTTAGTTCTTGGATGTTACAACACAGTATAATAATATTTATCATATAGTGGGTGCTGTTTGTGTGTGTAATATAATAGGTAAATAGGAAGGTAAGCAAACTAATCTTGAGGATGAGGCACAAGTATAAACTTACATTTTGAACTACTACAGAATTTACCGTACAATGTATACCCATTTATTGATATGCAACCAGATGGTGTAAAGCGACCCTGCTTGCTGATCCAAAGGGCCTGGGTTTGAATCTCAGCAGGCGCATTTATCTGTGTGATTAGCGCAATGTTTTTTTCTTGAGTTATTTAAACAATTCAATACAGGCTGCTTACTTTGGGACTAAATAAATTAGTATATACTGATGTTGATTCTGGCATGTTTCTCTAAAGATAAAACTAAAACATCAGTCTCTCCTTTTCATTCTGTATAGAGAATGACAAGAATACACTTGTTAAATTTAATTTCAGTTTTAGATTTTTTTATATAGATTGTGTTTTTTTATTATTGATATTTTATATATATATATATATATATATATATATATATATATATATGGGTCCAATTAGTGACGTCAACATTTTTATTTAGATTCCTCGCACCTACCCCGTGATACACCCGAAAATACCCCGTGAATGTTCCGCGATTTTTCTTAGTTTTCGAATTATATTTTTTTATTGTGTATTTTCAATGATTTCTGCCAGCGAGGTTTCAAAACTTCATATCTTTTTTCGTAGTACGTATTTTGCAGTGTCTTTTTTGTGTCATAATTGTCTTGAATGTTGTTTTAATAAAAAAATAACTCAGCCTCCTGAAATTACTTAAAAGTTACTCAAAAAAGGCTTGAAAGTTGGAACTTTAGTTTTAGTAGGATTTACTGAAACATTCAACTTCAATTTCAAAATACAAAAAGGAGTTTCCATAGCTTCTGGCTAAAGTTAAAAACTCCGCATGCTTCTAAACTAACAAAAATCATTAAAAAAAATGTACTTCATCTGCCTATTTTTGTTGTAATTGGCCTTCGAAGGCGGATAGTCTATAAAACATTGGAACACGATTAAAGCATTAAAAGATATTTTATCTACTTTTTATCATTGGTATGATAAATTAAACTTAAAAATGTAATTTCAAATTAAATGTAATTGACATTCCTGTAAAATAACTTTAGCATGTGGAATTTTATAATAATTTCGGTTTCACCACTAAGATTTAAAATGTAAGCAAGAATAAAGATCAAAATGGCTAGTTGGGTAATTACCTGTTTTTTTATATAAATAAAAAGCACAAATTACTGAAAAATTACTTTTTATTACAGTAAATTTTCAAAACTCCTTCCTCCAACCTGAATACAGAATTAACAACGTCTTAAAAAGTTATGTTTTAATTGTCTGAAGCTACTTGAATATTTTTGCTTTATTATACTTTCCGCTTCTGTAAGTTTTTGTCTCAATTCTATAATTCTAAGAAAAATCGCGGAACATACATGGGGTATTTTCAGATAACCCCAGGTGCGAGGAATCTAAAAAAAATGTTGACGACACCAATTGGACCAACCTGTATATATTTAGTTACTGGTCAGAGTATTTTGTTTGTTATAAATTTTTATGAAAGTATAAAAAAATTACAATTTTATCTTGAGTAGTTAAAATACAATGCAATATTGTTAACGAATAAAAATAAAGCATGCCAGAATCGACACCACTGTTTAGACTTATTAAAGTGTGAATTTAAATTACCTGATATGTTGCAGCATCCAGGTTAGACGCAGATACATAAAGCAAATTGTTTTGAATTATATACAAAAACGATGGCACACAAACGCGTAAAGTGTCTTTAACATTTAATATAACCGTAGCATACATTGATTGAAAACCCTTCCTAATGCTACGAGATTCTTGCATTACTAGTACAATGCAGATTACTAACTTAAAAACTTCAGCCATCAATACAGCTGAAAATAAAATGCAAAAGTACTGTTACAGTTTTTGTTAAGGTCTTAAATTAAAACAAAAAGGGAAGATACGGCACGTCATCTTAATAGTGCGCCGCTTAACTATTTAAGCGGTACATGCACAAATGCGTACATGCGCACTTACAAAAAACTGGCCAAGTGCGTTGTGATGCTACGCGTAGTGTAGGGGAACCCTAGTTGCCCCTCCTTAACATAATAATATTTCCGAAGGAGTGGAATTAGTAATTTGGGTAGTTTATTTTTATCCATTCTGCCTTTTTATCAATCTAAAACTCAGATCAAACTTTTATTTTCATTTGATCTGATTTCTAAAATGGAAAACTTTAAAATTAATTAAGATAAGTATTCCTACTAAGTTCAAATCTATTACCTATCTCAAAGAATAATATTTTTCTTACAAACTTTTATCCCCCTTTTTACCCTTTTAAAATTTATCGTTCATAAAAACTTCGACTCATTTGAATACCTCAGGCGGCTAGAAATAACAAAATAAAATCGTAAGCGTTAGCGTTTCCCAAAGCATTTCCGTTAGGCGATTGGCCCCCTGGGCAGTGTCTGTCATATCGGTGGATTCGACGAACTGTAAAGAAAAGTATGTACATTCCATGATATCATATTTTAGTTTATCTGCCATGTCCTGACTCATGACTTCAATACGCCTTGTGACAGTCGGACGAGATAACTGAAGTTCTCTAATAGCAGACATGATTTCTGTTTTATTTTTAAAATCTCCAAATAAAGTCTCACCCGCTTCAATAAATGCTTCTTCACAACCGATCCATCTTCGAATGGTTTATTGTTTTGCCAATATATGAGAAATTTTAAATGACGCGATCGTAGCAGCTTTTGATTGTTTGACTGGTCTTGTGAACATGGTTTGTTCCTTTTTCAAACAAGATATCAAATCACTTACTTTTCGTTTTCTTAATTCACTCTGTGGCGGAAAATCCTTTTCATAGTTTTTATGAACCGTTTTAAGATGCCTCTCTAAGTTACCACGCTTATTAGGTATTGCAACTTACGCACGACAAAAAAGGCAAATGCACTTATCCTTCACCATACAAAAGAAAAATTCTTCCTCCCAATCGTTATTAAAATGATACGTTTGAGATTTCTTCGCTGCACTCATTTTGTAGGTACTATCTCTTATCTATTAGACAAGTCCGTCCGTCCGTCTGTGGTGCTGTTTCAGCGGCCAAACCGTAAGAGATAGATAAAGAGAATGTTTAAGTTATAAGTTGAGAATAGTCTGATAAGACTACAAACCGGATGTGAGTAACGTAGCACTTCCGGTTTTCGAGAAATCACGTGATTTCTATTTCAAACGAAACCACACAAAATCTCCGAAGTTCTGAATTAATTAAATACTTTTGTTTTTTTGGTGAACATTTGGCTCACTGGTTTGCTAGTTTAATAATAAACTTTGTATCGATGTAGTATTGCCTTCAAGTTACAATTCAGAACGACTCTTTTTATTATTTTTAAAGCATGTAACTGCTTGATGTTTAAATCTAAAGAAAATATAACTAGAAAAAATTCCACGCGGGCCAGGCAGTTATTTGTTATTGAAAATAAAAAATCATTAAATAAATTTATATTCTACTCAATGATATGCGCGCATGCTGGGGTAAAAAAGAAATAATATTATATATATTTTTTTATAATTTTTATTTTTTAAGCATGTAATTGCTTGATGTTTAAATCTAATGAAAATATAACTAGAAAAAAATCCACGCGGACCAGGCAGCAGACGGGACTCGAACCCGCACCCTTCGCAATCCGGGCGAATGCACTGACCAATTATGCTACCGCGGCCCTCACGGACTGCGTCGAAATTCTTCCAGCCATTCTTAAGTTGCAAGGCAGCGCCATCTCTTCGCATTATAGGTAACCCACAATGTCAAATGAATACTTTTACAAGTATTAAACATTTGAAAGAAGTAATACCAATTATAGTTATAATTTTTATTATTTTTAAAGCATGTAACTGCTTGATGTTTAAATCTAAAGAAAATATAACTCAGTTAAATTTTAAAGGGTTTTCGAAGGGTGCGGGTTCGAGTCCCGTCTGCTGCCTGGTCTGCATGGAATTTTTTCTAGTTATATTTTCTTTAAAAATATTACTCTTTAAGTACTATATTTAAGTTTATTAATTGAGTCACTTAAATATAATGTAACTACATTTAAGTGCCTCAATTGCTTTCTTTTTAATAACCATTTTTTTGTCCACAGTCTTCTTTTTCTTTTTTTCTCATCTACATTTGTAGTTAGATCCAAGATTAATCCAATTTTTTGCTTCTTGGTAAGAGGCATCCTAATACAAACAAGTCCGTTCAGCAGAGGCAACAAATAAAACTGAAATAGGCGATCTTGTTGTGTATGTGTAAACGGACAACCAGATTGTACCCAATTCAATCGGCAATCAGATTGGCAATCAAATTGTGTCGTGTGGAAGGGGTTTTATATTGTTTTCGAATCCGCAATCATCTTACGGAGTTCCGTGGATCGTCCAATGTACCTTTTGGACAGGTTTTGGCCACGATTTCGTTCGTATTGGTGTATCTAGGGTACTAATATCATATAATATCCTTAGATTGCGTGTTTATAGGTGTGTGTGTGATAGTTGCTTTTGTAGTTGAGTCAAAGCATTTTTTATGTGACACTGATAAGGGTGTACCATATTTTCCCTTTTTGATACAATCTAATGTTAAGTTGTTAATAAATTGGAATTAACCTAACTTTGAGAATTTAATATAAATTCAAGATCAAAATTATAGATGTAATGATTACTGTGAAGGCAGTTAGTTGGAACTGGATTGCCAAATTATGCAAGTTCAAGGCTGCATTCAATACCTCTAGAGAATGCAACTTGGGATAAAATACGCTCTGTCTGGAGGTGTTATGTCAAAGTCCACTAGTGCTCGCGCGTTTAGTGGCTCAATGTGCGCTTGCTCTTACTTGTCCCCCTATGACATCTGTCAAGGGGGCAAGAGCAAGTTAAAAAGTAATAACTAGTAGTGGCAACAACTGTCCAATTAACTGTCACTCCAAGGTTTGGAATGGTCAGTGGGTGAAAAGTAGCACTCGGTGCGAAGGTATTGAACGCAGCCCATTACTATAGTTCAAACTTACTCTAATGTTATGACTTTTTTAATTGCCAAATGTCATTTTTAAAAGCAAGTTGCCTTATCATATTTTAAATGTCTATTGTTGACTGTTGTCAAGTTTCCAAATAGCCATGTATAGTGCCAGCATGAGAAAAGATCACACAAATAAATAAGTTGTCTGTGTAAGCTTTAAATGGCTGATAATATAAGGCGAAAAGAACTTGCTATTTCTCACCTGCAGCTGAAGAAAACATCTCCACTTTTCTTGTGCGTGCATATCTCATACTAAGGCCTAATGTGGCATTTTGCAAGGTCAAAATAACCAGGCTTACATATTTAATATAACCTGTAGAATAAATAAAAAATTTAATAGAAAGTTAGAATATAGTGGTGTCAATACTGGCATGATTCTCTAGACTTAAAACTAAATTTAACATCAGTCTCTCCTTTTCATTCTGTGTAGAGAATGACATGGATACCCTGTTGTCAAATTTAAGTTTAGCTTTAGAGGATCATGACAGAATCGACACCAATGTATATTTATTTTAATTTAAAACCTGACTGCTCATAAGCTATTGAAAAACCCAAACAAGTGGTTGTCAGACTTCTCATATATAGGGTTGAGTACCAATAGTTATCTATGTAATAACTAACATTATTTTTAATTTATCTATTTTATTTAAGCATGAATATTTTTTTTTACAAAAAAATACATCTTTGAATCCAGCCCTTCTTCGTATTGTTTTTGTAACTCAAAGCAACCTAATTACTTAAGAAGTAATTTAATTAATCACTATTAGATTGGAATATTATGTTATTTCAAATATCTTTATTACTACATTTTTTATATCTTACCTTGTTTTCCTTGCTTATTTGATAAATATAGTTGTGATTTTTTTGAATCATTGTCCATGATGTCTAACGGCTGAGTATTTACATTAGCTAATTCAATATCTTGTAAAGGTGTTCCACTTTCATCTATTGTATCACTATTTGAATTAGAGGCATTGATAGTTTTCTCAGGATCTAAAATAAAAAAAAAACATAACAATTACAACCACATATGCAAGCTCACAATTGAATTAGATCAAGATTGAATTTAATTCATTAATTTTGTATGTATTGAAAATAGTATTTTTTTTAAATCACAAATAAAAGTACCATGCATTTCACATTGCAAATAATCCAATAAAAAATTTAACAAGGTGCATATTTTTTGGAATCCTCACGAACGATTATAAAAAATAATACAAAATAATTTGTAAATAAACATCGGATTCACTGAAGGTTGAAATTGAAGTTGGTTTGTTCGGCGGAGCGGCGGAAAAACATCAACACCATGTTTGTTGACGTTGGCAATTTGGCAAATCACAGACTACGGGACAGTGTTTCCACTTTAAAGATTTCTTTTCCCCATGCCTCAATTCAGATTTCCCCTTCTTAGGACATTTTTCCCCTCAAAAATTATTCTGGTGTAGTTTTTAGATTTGGCACTAGTGTAGTAACTAAAAAAAAAAAAAAAGGTCTTATACTATCTTATTGCCACTTATACGTGTTGCCACAGTTTCTTTTATACGGCAACACTTTAGTTCACGTTATAGTCCTTAAAAAATTTGTTCCTTGCCGCATTATTTTAGGCTATGCTTTACCCGTAATTTCCCGCAATTTCTTTTCATGTCTTTCCCCTTTTTCTTCCCCTCTTCCCTAATTTCCCCTTAAAAGGGGAATTTCCCCTCATTGTGGAAACACTGCTACGGGACTATCTTAGCTATCTATACCAGTCCCCGTTCATGCGATTCAATTATGAATAGGAAAGCTAATGACCTCCAACTGTCAAATGTCGCTTGAAAAGTACGGTTACTACGGTTTGCAAAAAAAAACTCGGAACACTTGTTTAGCACTCAGCTGATTCTAGAATCAAACATTTTTAAACAAACGAATGTTGATAATGTTATTTGATGAATAAAAATATCCGGATCATTATAACTTTGTTTAATTGTTATTAACTCCTTTACAAACCACAATATAAATTATTATCGCTACATCATTTTCTTATCAGAGGCACGTTCGCAACAGAGAGAGCAAGTTGCCAGTACAAACATAGATTACATTAAGAACATACAACCACAGATTGAAATCCTAACGCTGTTAACTTCACATTCTATATTTTCTTTTATTTGCTTATTTTCTTCCAATTCTTCATAATTACTTTCTTCTATTTCTTTCTGTTCTATTTCCTTTTGTTGACTGTTATAATTTACCTCTTCATTCCTTATTTGCACAGTGTTATTTTCCTTATTATATATATCTTCTTTTTCATCTTCTTTATATTTAAAATTACTTTCATCAAATCGGACATCTCTCGTGATCATTACACAATCAGTAGAAGGATCCCAAACTTTGTATCCTGTTCTTGCATAACCTACCATTCTTACAGGTATTGCTCTGTTATCAAATTTATCTCTTCTTGGTATTTTCATCATCCAAACTTTACTACCAAACACAATCAATTTATTTAACTTTATTTCTTTTCCATATACTCTTGCTGGTATTTGCAGATTAATTGCTTTAGATGGACATCGGTTAACTAAGTAAGTAGCAGTCAACACGGCTTCTCGTCATAAATAACGAGGTAAGTTAGATTCTTGAAGTATAGTCCTCGCTTTGTCAAAAATTGTTCGATTCATTCTTTCGCTTTTTCCATTCATTTGTGGACTATATGGCATTGTGTACTATAATGTAATACCTTTTTCTTTACAGAACCTTCTGAAATTGTTAAAAGAATACTCACCGCCATTATCACAACGCAATCTTTTTACTTTTATATCTTTTTCTCTTTCTATGCCATTTATATAATTTACTAAATTACTTTCCGCTTCAGACTTATTTGTCAATAGGTATGTCTTTGTAAAATGTGAGTAGTCATCTATTATAGTCTGATAAAATCTTTGTCCTTCTCTCGCATTCACCTTCATTGGACCTGCTACATCAGAGTGTATCAATTCTCCTATTCCACTTGATTGGGATTTTTATACTTTTAAACGGTAATCTAGTACTTTTACTTGCCATACACTCTTCACAGATTTCACTACTCATCGGTAATCCTAAAATACTCAATCCTTTTCTGTTTAAGTGGCCCATTCTCTTGTGCTAAATATTTTTATCTTTACTTATTATATTATAACATTCTTCTGTATTATTCTTGTTCTCATGTTTATATTTTTTATTATACAAAGTGGTGGGATGCACCCGAGTCTATTATAAAATCTATTATCAATTCATCTTCTTCACTATTATTTTCCTTACAGTTTCTCATACTAAATGCGACGAATGACTCTTCCTGTTCATTTCCTGCTATCTTATTATGTCCATATGGTCGTCTGTATCCTCGCTGAAATCTTTCTCGCTGTGACCCCCTACTCATTGTATTTGTCTTGCATTGGAATGCCTTATGGCCTTTTTTTACCACACTTATAACAGGTTATGACGAATGCTGTATCATTGTTATAGTCATTTCCTTTTTCTTTACTGTTTTCATTAATTTTCATCTCTGCATCCATTAGACGCGCCTTCACAAATTCCAATGTTAATTCCTTTTCTTCTGTCATAGTTTCGAGGGTTGTAATTACGGTGTCATATTGTTCCGGTAATGTTAAAAATAGGTGACAAACTTTGTCTGATTGGTCTATTATGCACCCTGTCGCCTCCAGGTCCGCGACTAACTTGTCGAAAGTAAAAAAGTGATTTTGCAGACTTTCATTACCACATTTTAACGATATCAACTTCTTTCTTAGAAACAATTTATTAAAGACACTTTTTGTTTCGAAAATCTTTTCCAACTGATCCATCATTTCTTTTGCTGTAGAACATTTTTTAATCAGTTCCAGGTGCTTGTCTGTTACGCATTGCACTATGACGCTTTAAGCCTTGGCGTCCTTTTCGACTTCTTCTTTTATACTTTTATCTATCTTTATTAAAGTTTCCACTAGGCCTCTCTCTTCTAAAAGTGTTTTCACACGAAACTTCCAATTGGAAAACGAAGTATTTTCTAACTTTGGAAAATTTGTAAATGCTGACGCCGACGCCGTTTTCTATAACTTTTAATCTTATTTAAACTTTTTCTTCTTAGATCAACCACGCTCTGCTGTTATTTGATGAATAAAAATATCCGGATCATTATAACTTTGTTTAATTGTTATTAACTCCTTTACAAACCAAAATATAAATTATTATCGCTACATCATATTCTTATCAGAGGCTCGTTCGCAACAGAGAGAGAAAGTTGCCAGTACAAACATAGATTACATTAAGAACATACAACCACAAATAATGAAATCCTAACAAATTGTTTTTTTTTTCATTTATTGAGCTTTGGCTATGACTGGTTGATAACCTAAATCATCAAACAAATGTCACTTTATGTTGCGTGCAAAAACTCATTATGTGACCTGCATGATTATTCATAACTTCTCCGGCGGTAATGCAGAGATGAGCGAAATTGGAGAGCTAGATTGTGATTAATGATTTTTTTTCACACAGTCTTAATAAAGAAATACTATTAAAAATCGGTTGTGTTCTTTCTCTTCCTAAGTAAATTAATTTTATTAATAAATCTGATGTTTTGTCTCACTTAATCTTAGTAAATAAGTTTTATTAAATAGCAAATTTTTTTGCTCACTCTACCTATTTGGTTTGAATTGACAGCTATGACGTCAAAATATGGCACCCAGTCGTCGGTTCTATTTTTTTTAGTTGAATCGCATTATATGAGCACGAGCACCGCGGTATGTTAATAACGCGTTTTTATCACGCTCAATTGTCAAATTACTATGGCGTTTGATAGTTAGATGCGATAAAAAACGTGATAGTAATGCCATGGTAAATTACTTGTAGGGTTGCAACGATATATAAATACGATATTTAATGACACCACAAAATCGATATGATGTTAGAGTTAATACACTTGCGAACTCCTGGCAGGAAAGAAAGCACATAAAGCAGTAAAAAAGCAAGTGTGTTTATGACCACACGACTGAAGTAAAACTTCTTTAGCTCCAATCGCTCCAATGATCTGAAAATCATAAACGTAACCACGGATCTGAAAAATAGACGGACGAAACCTCGTCTAATTAGGGTTGCCACCTTTTTTAAGTCCAAATAAAGTACATTGGATATGAAAGGTAGAAAAAAAAGTACATTGTGTCCAAAATAAAGTACATTTTAATCCACTTTATTAGTAAGCTTAAAATATATTTTACGGTGCTTATAGCAATATTTAATAAATAATTTGTGGCTACTAAAAATCTGTAGTTCTTATCCGCAATGGGTAAGACCATTGTACAAAGCCATACAGCCGCGACAATGTTGCAGGAATGGGCTAAGGGCGACATATTATACATACTGTTGTTCCGTTTTACGCAAAACATCTTCCTATCCTCTTTATTTATATTATATGTAAAATTAATTCCCAAGTAATCAAATCACATTAAATAAAGTATTTTCGCGTACTTTATTGTTGGCATAAAGTATAGAGTACAATTACCCGAAATAACGTACAATACTTTATAATAAAGTACGGGTGGCAACCCTACGTCTAATCGTGAGTGAAGCATGCCAATGGCCGCCGGCCGCCCGCTTACCGCGTGTGCGTGATTTGAGGGTTGTCATGAAAATTATCAATTTCCCTACTTTTTAAATCTCGCAAACTAAAACTTTGTAACAGGATATTTATAACGTGTTTTACTCTTTGTGAACTCCCGATATTTTAGCAATTTAAACGTGAAACCGTTTAAATTGCTTCAGAAACAGTTTGTTGGCCTAGAATAGCATAGAAAAGAAAACACTTGCTATGTATAAAGAAAATTGTTTACAATACATATTAAATGTAAATAAATGTTTTAATAATAAGTACCTATGAGATTTATAATATACATTTATAATAAAGAAATAATCAGTGCAATCAGGGATAATTGGGAACTTGATATTAACATTATTTTTATTGTAGGAACTACCACAAATGCTAGGGGTTATAGACCGCCGTGGTAGAATGCCTAATGGGGACCCCGCGGCTCCGCACTAATCAGTGTAGAAGGTATTGGCAGGACTTTTTTAGCGGATATTATGCTGTATAGCTCGCGTTAGAGTTGCGGGGTCCTTGGTGGGTAGCCACTGGGGGTCCGTAAGACTTGCGGGAGCCAGGTGTGAGGTCCGTTCGGCGGTGTGCCTCTTAAAGGCGCCGTCGTCTGTAAAAAGATTTGTTACCTGCGTTATAAAAAAAGGGGTTATAGACCAGGGTCGATAATTTTTGCGACCAAAAAAATTATAGTAGGATGAAACCCATTGGAAAAGGTAGTGAATATAACAAAAATGAAAGGAAAAATAAATTACGGGCGATCTGAGGTCGGGAAGGGGGAGGGGGTGAGTTTTTAAGGGTAAAAATGGTTAATCTCGATTTTCGGTAAAACTGCAAGTCCTATGAAAAAAAGTTAAATGGCAATGTTGTAGGTAATAAAAAGATCTACAACTTTTGTATGGTCACTTTTTTCACATAGCATCAACATTTATGTGAAAAATTCGAATATCGGTTATTCGGTTTTTTATTTTTATTCTATGCAAAAAAAAAGAATTCACGAAATTAAGTGAAAACTTACCTTTGTATGTCCTAAACATACAGTAATTATTTTGATTTAAAATATTCAGTTTTTCACCTTATTTTGACTTAATATCGAAAAAGCACCCGAATTTTCAATCGAAAAATCTCACATCAATA